TCTCTCATTCTCTCTCTCTATCTCTCTCTCTCTCTCTGGCTCTCTCTCTCTCTTTCTTTCCCTCAATCTCTCTCAATCTCTCTCTCTCTCTCTCTCTCTCTCTCTCTCTCTATCTATCTATCTACCTATATCTTCATTCCCCATCCCTCCTCCCATCTCCAACCCCTCTACCCCCTCCCCCACAGCCCCAAAACCATCAGACCTCCAGACCCCCCTGGGAACATGCAGCTGTCAGAACCCCTTTCTTCCCTCTCACGACACTACACTGACTAATTAAACATTCAGGCCGGCCCTCACACACTTCCAACTTCCAGCACAAACAAGATAATGTCTCCTTCTTCTGTCTATCTGCCATTCTGATCCAACTCAAAAGAAGCAGACAACGATATTTAATGCTACAGCCCATCACGACAAAGTCTATTACATTTTATAAAAACGGTGTGTGTTGTCCGCATTTCGACGGGTAAACGAACCCATAATTTGTTTACAGAATGAAGGATGACAAAGCATAATTGCAGGATGTACGAGAGGAGCCCTGACAGAGTTCTGTGTTTATCCCAGAGTGCCGGAACTTTGTAGATGTTTTAACAAGCATGCTATTTAAATAATAAGGCATACTCTATTGATTCTGAATCATGACGCTTTGTGGGGATGATCAAGGGGATGGAAATTATCACGCCAAACGGCAGGTTTCTGCTGCTATTTCTGCTGCTGCTACCTTCATCTTTATTTGCCCTGAACTATCTTCTTTTCAGGGAACCCCGTTTCATGTGGAAATCTAATCCTGTCATTGAATATTAATTGTTTTAAAAGAATTCCTTTCCTCACTGCCCCTGCCCTCTACCCTAAGACACGTAAGAATGCACGCACCCACGTACGCACGCACGCACGCACGCACGCACACACACACACACACATACACTTGCGTGTTTAAATCAAGACCCAACCCCTCAGTTGCCCCTAGCTGATTTGAATAAACGTCTCAAACGGCCGCTTTACGAGCCCTCGGGTGAACGCTTGGGGCACGTCTGAAGGATACATTCTGCCATAACAATGATAAATGACCCTTTGTGTTGGCAATTAAAAAATCATCCCATGGAAAATGTTCGTAAACAATTGCTTATGCCGCCGGGATCGCAGTGTGAATTTTGATAGATGCTGCTGCAGGTTCTGAATAATGAAATCGTTACAATGGCTGCGTGAAGGACATTTTACAAGACCCCAAGTAATTGAGTTTGGGGTTTAGTTTAAGTTTGGAGCCCTTTTCTGCCTGTTTTAGCGGATTTTAAAAGTGCGAAAGACGAACCCCCCCCACCTCTGTCCCCAGTCCCCAGAAGTAAATCATTCACCAACAGTGAAATATCCCTTAGTCATCAAAAATCGATGGAGATTCCAGAATTTCCCCGGTTTTTTGTTTGTTTCTACTTTCGCCCGCTAATGTATTTTGCATATAATTACCAGCGAACAAGTACACAGCACAAAACAAACGTCGGGAAAATCCCGTCACAAAAATTGATCATCATTAAATGACGTAATTACGTGGGATCAGCCTCCATAACTTGCTTTGTATGAATGAGTCAGCTGATAAACAGCTATAATGTTATTTCCCTCATTATTTTTTGCTTGATTTTAGTTCTGTAATCATCGTGGGGACATTCAGATAGAGACAAATATAAATTAAATACTGGGCGATACTGGAGGCTGCTCGGTTTATTCTTCGAGTCCTTTCTCAATGCTTTTTACACCGAGTTATTATAAGATTATTTTGTTTACTTTATTCTATTTATTAAATATATTTTGGATTTTTTTTTTCACACTTCTACAGACATCAACCCAAAAATAATAGATCTTATATAGTTTCATTCTTGGGTAAAACATTCTCACCCACAGGGCATGCAATGAGTCGACTACTGAACGAGACTGTCATCACTCACGATGTTAGGCAATTCTCATCCATCTCATTTACCAGCGCTTCGACTATTTTATTTTTAAACTAGAAATCATTACTACCGACAAAATGGTTTGGGTTTTGTTCTTTTTTAATACCACATTCTACAGAACTGAGATAGCTAAAGATGCAAGTGAACGCACAATGTGTAGGAACATTCGTAAATTATTGATACAAGACTTAGCAATAGGAAAACGTGGAAATTGTCGTTCAAGACACGACTTGGGGCGAAGGTGGGGTGGATGCAGAGTTTCTTAACCCGTTTCAAACGTTGCCCTGCTCATTTATCGTGGTAAAAAGGTCATGCAAATCAATTTTTAATAGTCTGACTAACTCTTCACTTTGTAACGTTGTATTCATCACTGAAAATAAATAGGTTTAAAAAAAAAAAGGTTTGAGATTACCGTGGCTACATGATTTTTTTCGGAGGGAGGAAAGTACAAAGTCAACCCCCATAGTTCTGATGCAAGTATTTCTTACTTAATTGATATTAACAAATCACAGTAAAAGTTCTTCTGACTAGATGACGCAGGGGGCTCACGTGGCCTAGAGGTTAAGGTGCTGGCCTCTCATTCAAAGGTCCCGGGTTCGAATCCGGGTAGCGACCGAAAAATTTT